CAACCGCGACAATTATTTTCTTTATAATTACTTTTCTGATATAAACTGCTTCTCTAACAATGTCAAAAAAGTGGTTATCAAAGAAATGGTTTTGTCAGTAAAAAATTATCAAAGAAATGGTTGTCAGTGAAATATATATCAGTAAAATATTAGTAAATCATATAATTTATATATTACATAAATGCTTTATTATCTTCTAATCTTGTTGGTACTATCAAAATTACAGAGATCTCATTCTAACTAATTATTAAAAGACAATAGCTATTATATAAACAGAATATTTAAAATTTTATTATTGGTGGGTTTCAAACCCCAACCTGCTAATATGCTACTTGGAGGTATGACAACTTAACTACTTCACTAAATTACCACATCTATAACTAGTTTTTATATTTATATATCAAATTAACATGCTTAATATTTTTTATATTATATAGATTTAAATAAAATTTATAAGGTTTAGGTAGTTTATTTTTTTATCTTCATAATATTATGAATAAGCAGATTTTTATTAGGTAATTTAGTAGTATATTTTTGATTAATGAGAGTATATTTAGCTATATGTGCAACTTTTGATTACTTATTTAAATAGTTTATCTGAAGGTACTATATTAGATACTATATCTGTAATCTAACTAGGAGATTACCTATTTAAACTTTCTGATATTTTTATTCTGATTACCATTACAATCATGCTAACTCATAACTTGTACGGTTTTAATTGAAGACTATTTAAATTAACATTTGCTATACTACTTGCACCCTAATTCTATAGATAATCTAAAAGAGTTCTTATATTATTGTGTTATTCTAAAGAAGTGTAGTATATACCCCTCTAATCTTTTTTATCTTATACATTTCTAGATTAGGCTTTGAATACCTTTCATAGCAGCTAAAACTACTATTAGCAGTTAAAATTAACTGTTAAACTATATAATTTTAGTACTTATACCTTTATAAAGTTCATTCTAATTTCAATATCTGCATCAAACCAATCCTTATACTAATCATTCTTTAATTAACAAACTAATTAGCTTAGTTAGGTCATTATACCTAATCTTTAAATACTGTACCTTTTAGTTTTACTTTTAATAGTTTTTAATTCTATAGTATATGATTTTTTCCTTCAATATGACTCTGGTGATCAGATTTGAGAACTCTTTTTAACCCAGGGTTTTTATCTAGTTCTTTGGTCTTCAGTTCTAGCTTTTTGCAGTATTGTCAAAAATCTTCACTATATTTTTGCTTAAATTTTGCTAAACAGGTTTCAATTATTCTAGTTTCTTGAATTTTGGATCGATAAAAATTACAAAATTATATCTTCGTGTTCACAATTACATTTATATGAAATCTAAAAAAGGCCAGACCAATTTAATTCAGTGGTTTACATTACATCCTTTTTACAAAAGAGGGGGGAGGGGGGAGCTGGAGGGAGTTTATTATAAAAATTTTCTCTGAAATGATCAAAATTTTCTGCATATAGAGTGAGGGGAAGGCAGAAGAGGGGGGTAATGTAAACCACTGAATAAATTGGTCTGGCCAAACTAATATAAAATTATATATAATTACGTAAAATCACAACCTCAATCATGATAATTTGAGTTAGATAAATTAACAAAAAACACAAATTAAATAAATAATCAAAAATACCTCTCAACAATGCACAAAATTTCTAGGTGCTTTATACTTGGGAGTTAATTAATTCATCATTTTTGTCTAATTCAACACCAGCTCAAATTCTTCAAGTAATTCGTGTATTGAGTAATAAATGTTTTACGTTTATCTCTTAAATTCCATTTCCAACTCTTCCAGAAATTGTCTTATGTAAACAAATCTCTGCCATTTTTACAAAAGTTTTGTGCTCTACCTCCCAAAGCTATCGATAATTTAATAAATTGAATTCCAGAATGTCTATATATTATTTTTTTTACTTGCGTAATTTAGTATTTTTAAAAAGTATAATGCGTGTTATCAACTAGATGACACACTTTACACTTGTAAATATTTAAATTACGCAAATAAACTGTAATGATAATAACTTATTAGTAATATAAAGAAAATAATTTAATACGGTAATAAAAATTTAAAAAACTTTCTCTAAACTCTTGGTTATAATTGAAGTAAATTTTTTTGAAAAAAAACTTTATTCAAAATTTTCACTTTGCTAATGAGAACCTGCAGCTCTTGCTATCGTAAGCTTCCTCCTGAAGCGTTCGTATACGAAACAAAATATATAAAATATGTACTCAATGTATAGCTACCAGAGTTGAAAAGAGAAATTTCAAAAAAGCTGCTAATATTGATAGTGAAGAAACCCCTATTGAAATAATTCTGATTAATGAAATTAGCAATTACATTTCTGATGAAATTGATAGATTAGAAAGTGATACTGCACTTTTTTCAACTTTTTGTATCAAGCTTGACGAAGCTACTCTTAATGCCGTTAGCACAGATGTTAGAATAATGGCTAAAATAATCGTTGATGAAATCGAAGAAGGGGATGATTTCAAATGGACATAAGTAAAATTTAAAATTATACTTGCCCTAAGTAAATTTTTTTACAGGTTTCGCATACCAAGTTCGTACAAACTAACAATCAAATTCGTACATATATATATGAATTTGATTGTTAGTTTGTACGAACTTGGTATGCGAAATCTGTAAAATCTTTTTAAGTTTTTTTTAAAGCTTGTTTTAAATCTTGGTATGCATTTCAATTGCAGGGCCACAACTGCACCAAATATTTCATCCTGTCATGAAGGTGTTGGTAATGCATATTTTGCATGTTCACAAAGTGCAGAACTCGAGCGTGAATACAAAGATTCAAATCACAAAAGAATCGACCGTTTTAATTGCAATAGAAAATTGACTATAAATATTGATCTTCTAGCTGCGAAGGCCAAAGTGGTGTTGCAACACAAATTAATACATGAAAAGCCTGTTAATATTACAACACCTCCTGAAATAAAACAAGAGATTATGGAAAACTTGAATATGGATCCAGTACACTTACGAACACATCTCCAAAAAAAATTTGATGTCTCTGCAATTACTTCTAAACAAATCCACTACTGGTGGTCATACTATGCACAAAAATTTTATAAGTGTGAAGAGAATCATATTATTTCCGCACATACTTTTATTGAGCAGCAACAAAAAAATAATTATTACCTGTGTCTTCAATTAGAAACTAGTCACATTACGGCAATTGGTTTTACAACTCCCTTGTTCGATTCACTAAAAAATGTCACGGAATTCTATTGTGATGCTATATACAAAACTGCCAAAGGGCGTTTTGAACTTTACGGTCTTGTTGGAAATTATGAAGGTGCTTTTTTTTTCTTAATTAATGCATCTAAAACAATAACATAAAAATCTTGTAATTACAATATTTTTAAGAAATATATATTTATAAATATATATTTCTTAAAAGTATTATAATTACAAGAATATCATGTTCCTAATTTGAAGCTTTGCGCAATACTAATATTTTTTGTGTATAGGCGCAGGTTTCCCTCTGGCCTACCTTATCCTAGACACAACAAAAATAGGTGATAACGTTCAAGAAAATCTGCGAACTGAGGCTCTTGAGAGGTTTTTTCAAGCTCTCTACAGCAAAGGTCTGCATCTCATTTACTTCTATACCGATAAAGACTTTGCTGAAATAAATGTTGCGAAAAAATATGGCCAGCATGTAATATACAACTCTGTCTATAGCATATCGAAAAAGCCCTCAAAAAAAAAATTAAAAGTAAAAAAAAAATAAAAAAATCTGATTACCAATATAAAGAAGTCACAACTGAGTTCTCGTTTGTTGATTCTTCTTTCAAGCCCAATTTAAAACGCGAAGATAAGGAATATTATATTGTCTGTCCGTCGAATTTACAGAGAAATATTATTGATCTTGTTAAAAAGCATTTTAACATGCATCCTAAAATTCTGACTAGTGCAAATGGTCAATTCCTATCTTTTGCAGAAATAAGGTTAATGGTGGTTCGTGAAATATATGAATTCTGTAAAACAAATGATCTTGTATTACTCTGGGCATATTTGTGGTGTGTCTGGTACAAACCTTCTAGGTGGTGTCTCTAGGCTCGCTCTACACAGCAAACAATACCTCTTAGTAAAACAAATATGATGATTGAAGCCCACTGGAAGGTTTTAAAACACAATTACCTTTATCAATTTAACTGCTCAAGACTTGATTATCTTATCTGGATCATTTGTACTCAAGTATTACCTGATCAAATTACACATCTTTAGCAGATTTCTCTTGGTAGATCAGCTCCATCATGGTTCGAGGATTTTAAAAGAGAGTGGAAAAATCTTGTTGAAAAATCAATTGATAAAGAAATTACTTCATTGATTTAAAATGCTGGGTGGTAGTTGCTATTATTTTCTTCACAGTCGTTTTTTAATTTGCAAGCATTTAATTCACATGGCAATAGAAAGTATTAAAGAAACTGAATTGAAAAAAATTCGGTTAGTTTATTCTAACTTTAAACGGCAAACTGATTATCTATTCTTAATTTAGAATAAAAGTGAAATTGAAAATATCAATATAATTGAAAACGTTCCTAATTTAATACCATATAATCTGTCTTCAGTTGAAACTTCTGCCGAAGAAGATTTCTATAATACAGATTAATGTCAAGAAATAGAATCTAAAATAGCTTTATTAAATCATTTAGTTGAGCATTTAAATATAGAATTGACAAGTAATAATTTACAACATGCAGAAGCAGTTATTAATAACTTAGGTCATGCTTTTACAATTATAAATGATATTGAAGTTGCACAAAACAGGTGACAGCGTGTTACTACTTGGCGAGGGTCAAAGCCATGGACATTATTTTTGTCTTAGATTAACTTTAGCGGTAGTGTTTGCTATATTATTTTTGTCTTAGATTACTTTAGCGTTAGCGTTTGCTGTATTATTTTTGTTTTAGATTATCTTTGCATTAGTGTTTGCTGCAAATAGAATTTTTTTTTTGTTATCGTTATACAAGTCATTATTGAGTAACACAAATTGCATAGCCATGTACTGGTTATAGGGCTGGAAGATTACGTGACCGGAAAATCGATCCTACGCCCTGTCAATCTCGCTATATACATCTGTATGTATATATATATTAATTAATTTTTATATCTTGAATCAGATATAAATAAATATAAACTAGTTAATTATATGAACTTAAGTTTATATAAAATATAAATAACAAATATTTATAGATAGTAGCAACACTATTTAAGTTCTACTCATTTATATAAAACTTCAATATTTTAAACCTTTACCTTTACTCTAGAATTTGAGATTTGATACTTTAAACTGTTTTGTACACTTATCTGTATGTATCTATAAGTAGCTCAGGCTCATACAGAGTTTTATATTTAATACTTTTTTTTTTTCAAGATTAGCCGCTTCGGCTTATCGCTTTTATTAGATATTAGGATCATGTGGTACCCTTTTCAAAGGGGCCCCAGACAAGTACATTCTGACAAGAATACATTCTAGCCATATCTGCACCTTTTGGGTGCCTAATTAAGTGATTCTACCTATATGCTAGGTGCTACACTAGATGCCGTACCTATAACCTACTATTACTTGAATTATCTAATTAAACCCTCTGATCTGAGTTTCCTATATCAATCCATCTAACCTCACCCAGAACATGCGATATATAAGTCAGTCCAAGTTTCAAGATCGTCATGTCCATCTATAAGACTACCAGCATAGTTAACCGATTCATCCTCAAGTGCATCATCTGCTAGAGCAGTCTGGTACCCACTTTTCCTGTATTATCTAGTCTTCTTCAGTAACTTACGCCGAGTCCGAGGACAAGTACTTGCAAGCTGAAGCTGCTACAGTTACCTACTACTGCTCTTATAGAGTTCACCCAAACTCCGGTACACCTACAGACTTTTTCCGGTCAACCCAGCTATTCAAAACTACCAATCCAGATGGCTTGGAAGGGCTATAACCTGCTTCTAGTCCCCACGATTGGGTCCTTTTCCTCTGGTTACTCCTCCGGCAGCCTGGTTGGTGGAGTGTCTTGCCAAACACTTCGGTCCCGTTCAGTTTATCCAGTTCTCCAGGTATTAATCTGCATGTAGTACCGTCAAAGATCTGTGCTACCTCTCTATTCAGGAATTCTCAAACGAATGCCCCACCACCGTATTGGCTCTGTGGCTTTCTGCGATTCCGAAGGACTTATCTTGGATTTGCATCGACTAAACCGGCTTGCATGCCTTTGTATAACTTCTTTATTACACAAATGCCCCAGAACCTTCCAATTTTTATCTTGATATGACCACAGTTACAGGGTCTTGAGTTTTCTCAGGCACGACAATAGTTGCCGAATCTGTTTTTCTAAATTTAATTTTTCGCCTTCTGTGAGAATTGAACTTATACTCTACCGCTTGGGGGTGCGACAACTTCACCACTTCACTAAGTC